TAGACCTCTATCATATCCCCCCTCAGTCTCCTCTTTTCTAAACTGAAAAGTCCCAGTCTCTTTAACCTCTCCTCATATGGGACCTGTTCCAAACCCCTAATCATTTTAGTTGTCCTTTTCTGAACCCTTTCCAAGGCCAAAATATCTTTTTTGAGGTGAGGAGACCACATCCGTACACAGTATTCAAGATGTGGGCGTACCATAGTTGTATACAGGTGCAGTAAGATATTCTGTGTCTTATTTTCTATCCCTTTTTTAATAATTCCTAACATTCTATGTTCTTATGTTAAGAAAAGAAAAGAAAAGAAAAGAAAAGAAAAGAAAAGAAAAGAAAAGAAAAGAAAAGAAAAGAAAAGAAAAGAAAAGAAAAGAAAAGAAAAGAAAAGAAAAGAAAAGAAAAGAAAAGAAAAGAAAAGAAAAGAAAAGAAAAGAAAAGAAAAGAAAAGAAAAGAAAAGAAAAGAAAAGAAAAGAAAAGAAAAGAAAAGAAAAGAAAAGAAAAGAAAAGAAAAGAAAAGAAAAGAAAAGAAAAGAAAAGAAAAGAAAAGAAAAGAAAAGAAAAGAAAAGAAAAGAAAAGAAAAGAAAAGAAAAGAAAAGAAAAGAAAAGAAAAGAAAAGAAAAGAAAAGAAAAGAAAAGAAAAGAAAAGAAAAGAAAAGAAAAGAAAAGAAAAGAAAAGAAAAGAAAAGAAAAGAAAAGAAAAGAAAAGAAAAGAAAAGAAAAGAAAAGAAAAGAAAAGAAAAGAAAAGAAAAGAAAAGAAAAGAAAAGAAAAGAAAAGAAAAGAAAAGAAAAGAAAAGAAAAGAAAAGAAAAAGGACTAACTTTAATTCTCTAAACCCATAATCAGAGCAGAAATTTGCCAATGTCTCTCCTGTTCTGAAATCCGTTCACACGGGCTCTCTCTCCCACTCTGGTTCGATACAACCCCACACTCAACCCTCGCCCACAGACTGCAACAAAGTCACTCCAGAGTCGCTGAGACCGGAATTGTGCCCGACACTAACAAATGCGTCTAATTGCAAACCGTGAGAGAGATAAAAGATCATTTGCTAATTTTTTATAGAATCATAGAACACTAGGATTGGAAGGAACCTCGAGAGTCATCAAGTCCAGTCCCCTGCCCTCATGGCAGGACCAAATACTGTCTAGACCATCCCTGATAGACATTTATCTAACCTGCTCTTCAATATCTCCAGAGATGGGGATTCCACAACCTCCCTGGGCAATTTATTCCAGTGTTTCACCACCCTGACAGGAACTTTTTCCTAATGTCCAACCTAACCCTCCCTGGCTGCAGTTTAAGCCCATTGCTTCTTCTTATCATCAAGTTCTATTTAGCAATTATCTACCACTAGCTGATACCAGACCGTTGTTTTAAATGCTAAACAGCAAAAACCAATAAACTGTTCTTGTTACTAATATTACAATAACTATTTGAATAGCTGATTTTATAGTCTACTAGATCATGAATGAATAGGAGCGTAATGCGGATTGTGATACAAGTTGAACCTCTCTGGTCCGGCAACATCCGTGGTCCAGCATGATTTGAGTTAGCCAGATGTCCGCTTATCACCAGTGTGGTTAATGTTCCCACGGTCCCATAAAGTTTGTTTCCAGCCACCAGTGCTGGCTCTCAGGGTTCTGTGCTGTTCTTTAGCTCTAATTTACCCCGAAATGTCTTCTCAGAGCCCAGCGGCAGTGTAGGTGATGCTGCTGGACAATATCAGCAAATTCTCTGGTTCGGCACCGGTCGTGTCCCGAAGGTTCAACCTGTCCTAAAACAGAACGTCGAATTGTTGATACTGCTGAGAATGGCCAGCCTAGATCTCTCATTCGATGACCTCGCTCTTAGACAGAACTGTTCATCAGTGGTTCTCATTCATTTCGCAAACTCACGTATCTCTCGGCCAAGTCGCCCCTGCTATCCCCCGTTGGATCTATGGGGAAACTGAGGCCGCTAAGGGTCCAGAGGCTTAACTTTTAGGTGTCAATTTCACCATCTGTGCATTTACTCCCATTCATACCCACCCCACAGGTGGCGGGATAGCTCAATGGTTTGAGCATTGGCCTGCTAAACCCAGGGTTGTGAGCTCCATCCTTAAGGAAGCCATTTAGGGATCTGGGGCAAATTTGTCAGGGATGGTACTTGGTCCTGCCATAAGGGCAGGGGACTGGATTCGATGACCTCCCAAGGTCCCTTCCAGCCCTATGAGAAAGGCAAGGGAAAAACGAATCGAGTAGTCTTCAGATCTGCTGAAGGCTAAGACACAGACGACAGGGATCATCCACCCGAATCCAGTCTATCCACCCACCTGAGATTCCCTCTTCGAAGCCCTTCTTTTCAGGTGGGAGAGGAGAGGGATTGAACTGAGGGTCCCTCTAAGGGGGGGGGCCGCGCTATGTGAAGTCAGCCGTCGCCACCTGATCGCTTCGCTCTGGGATTTCCGCATCCGGATGCTGAAGGGGGACAGCTGCACGGTTCACGGTTCGCCAATCGCAGTCCAGTCTGGCGCTGGGATTTTGGCACCTAATGTGGCAACGAGGTCCCTAAACCCCTCGGGACCCCGACCCACATCGTGGACTTCCTGAGATGCGTTGCTGACGTTTCCCTACCGCGGAGAGAGTTGCAATCTATTGAGTATTGATCCAGTCATTAGATTAATAATGTATTGATCTAGGGGTGATTAATAGTGTATTAATTATCTATTAATAGTCATCAGCACCATATATCTAGCAATTAGCTCCCCCAGTCATTAAATTAATGTGATGTATTTATTCATAATTATGACGAATAACTAAATACATCACACTAATTAGTGCTGCAATAATTAGAGCATACATTAAGAATTATTACTCTGATATATATAATGTATTGAGTGACCACATATGCAGTATTTTAATGAACTATTATTCTAATTATTAGAGCTATCCATTAATATCTATTACTCAGATGACTAATCCATGAGATAAGCAATAATTATTCTAATGCCGAGATCAATATTAATCATGATTAATTATCTAGTCACTAAGCTTGATTATTAATCTCAGAGGGGGAGCCAAGTTAGTCTGTAACTTTAAAAACAACCAGTCGCCCTGGGGCACGTTAGAGACTAATACATCATGAGCTCACGATCCAATCTAAATTTGTTAGTCTCTAAGGTGCCACGAGGTTGCTCATTGCAGATAATAAATATATTGCTCTCAGCATGGGAATAAATATTTATATATAACGATTATTCTACTATCTAGATCAATACATTAATGATAAATAATTATGACTGATTAGATAACGAACGTGTTGATGCAGGCATCAGACTCAATTAACGATGTATCAAGAGTCGTTTTCATCGTTAGTCATAATCACGGACAAGATTAATACTGCATGGAGGTATTGATCTAGCCATTAAGTTATTAACCACTGGCCCATGTATAATTGACGACGTACCCATCTGGGCTTTCTCTCAAGCAAGGGAGCTTGACGTGAGCACCGAGAGGTGGCAGCGTACCGCTCCGGCCAGTAGCGTGAGGGTTACAGAGAATGGACACATTGCTAGATCATTAACGGTGCTGTAAGGCTTTGATCTGGGCATTAGCATCAGAAAAATCTGTGCTCATTAACAGAGCCAGCTCAGCATTAGACAAATGATTAATAATTCAAGAGCTAGGCATGTTATCTTCTGCGGCTGCTTCTCCCCCATTCCCTTGTCTTCCCTGGCAACCAACGTGCCTTCTAATCTTTTGCGCAGTTTTTTTCCATCCCGGTGTAGAATAAATTTTATGGCGTGCACTCAGGCATGTGTGGATGTGCACCACCCACAGACGCACATGCTGCTGGTTGTGGGCACTCTGCTCAACAGCTGGGTGGCACTTGAATCTCTTGTGGGACTCCTCAGCTTACAGGGCACCTCGTGTGTGCCTACACCCACGCCTTTCCTCTCGCCTGGAAGAGAACAGTCCAACCAGCCCCTGTTCCCAGAACGCTGTGCCGCACTGAAACACAGAACACTAGATGTGGAAGAGACCTCGAGAGGTCACCAAGTCCAGTCCCCTGCCCTCACGGCAGGACCCAGCACCGTCTACACCATCCCTGCCAGGTGTCTGTCCAACCTGCTCTTCAATATCTCCAGGGATGGAGATTCCAGAACCCCCTAGGCAACTTATTCCAGTGTTTGACCACCCTGACAGGAAGTTTTTCCTAATGTCCAACCTAAACCTCCCTTGCTGCAGTTTAAGCTGCTTGTCCTGTCCTCAGAGGCCAAGGAGAACAATTTTCCTCCTTGTGACACCCTTTTAGATACCTGAAAACGGCTCTCACGTCCCCCCTCAGTCTTCTCCTTTCCAAACTAAACAAGCCCCATTCTTTCAGCCGTCCCTCCTACCTCATGTTTTCTAGATCTGGGCTGTCTCCATGCCAGCTCCCCCAAAGGTCATACCCGCCCTGGGCCCCTCAGCTGGGATTCCCGGACACGTTCCCAGAGCGCCCGTAACCTCCCCTGACACGCTCAGCCATCCGTGAGGCTTGCAGAGTCATGCGCAGCGGGGGGGCGAGCCAAGGGCTTAAGACAGCTCCCATGCCAGACAGCTGGCGCTCGGCCACGGACTTCAGACCAGAGGCCGGCTGAGGGTGAGCAACTGGGAGAGATGGGAGCGAGGAGAAGAGGGCTTGATCAAAGTCACAGAAACAGCGCTAAGGGGATAGCGACTCTACAAGCTTCGACCGACGTGGCTGTCTCCAGCTAAAAGTCAGGCAGCGTGAGTGGCAACAAAAAACATCCACCCCCTACAAGCAGCGGCTACCCAGGAGACATCCCAAGAGGGCCCAGTTGATTAGAAGAACACCCACTGCAATGCATCCTGGCTTGTGGTGCACATCCACACATGCCATGGCGCATGGAACAAAATTTATTCTGCACACCAATAGAAGAAAAATGAAAAAACCATCGCCTACAGGTGGAGTTTTCTGTGTCAGCAAACATGTATGAAAACAACAGCAAATAAAGTGCCATCCGCAACATTTATGCCACAACATAGACACCACAATGGCCAGTGATCCATATATAAATATGTAGAGAGGCAGCCGTGTTAGTCTGATCTTGGCAAAACAAAAGGAAAAAATATGTAGCGCTTTAAAGACTAACAAGATAGTTTATTAGGTGATGAGCAGGGCTTGACAAGCGGCGGCGAAACCTACTCACCAGCCCCACACTGCGCATACGCAAGACCCGCATTGCGCACGCACGCACCGCCGGTGAACAGGGTGACTGGTTGAAATCTACTCGCCATAGTCACGTAGATTCAGTGATTTGTCGAGCCCTTGTGACGAGCATCACCTAATAAACTATCTTGTTAGTCGTTAAAGTGCTCCATATTTTTTCCTTTTATATAAATATTCGTAACAATGCAAACCAACCCCAATGACCATGATGCACATATAAATATTCCGAACAGTACAAACCAACAACAGCCGCTGCCAACCGCTCTATGGATATACACAATACATCACAACACATGTCAACACAACCTGTATGTCAGTGTGCAAGCAAGACACGAGAAGACGGAAGATAATATAGAGACACGTGTTTGCAACAAGACAAGCTACTGATAAGAGGAACAGACACACGAAACGTGTCATTCCTTCGCTATTTGATTCCACTCTCACATTTATCAATCCAGTTCATAAACTGACATCTGTCTACAGTTATTAGCTGAACAATACACCGGATCCTGCAGGACAATCAACAGAGCTGAAAAGTTTAGGGAAGAAAAATTAATTTTGTATTGACAAAAAAGTCCCTCCCTTTTTGGCTACACCAAAACCTTCGGGAACACGTGTCCATTTCAACCAATTGTCCTTTTGAAACAACCCCAAATGAAGCATTTTGCTGCTGTTGAAACCTCCAAGGTTGACATTTTCGGGTTGGAATGGTGCCAGTGCTTGCTTGGCAACTGAATTTAGAAACACAATTCCTTGTTTCTTTAGATGTGCAAATAGAAAAAGTTGTTTCATCAAAATACTCCCATTCCAACAGGCCTGATTTTTTTTTTTCAAATTTTGTTTCAGATTATTATTTAAAAAAATTGTTTCATTTCACTTTCAAACAGGAAAAAAAATCAGTTGTGGAGTTCCCTGCAAAATGGAAAACACAGCTCCCACTCCGACGATCCCAAAAACAACACACATAACTTATGACAAAAATTGACAACACAAAACTAGCAATACATTTCACATGCACAATCCTTCCAAATTATACAGATATACGCAATAAACAACTACCCGTAACCACATCTTTCACACACAAATCGTAACAAGAAGCAACAAGCCACCACAAGACTGGAAAGTAACGTACTAAGCTGCAAATAATACATCTACATACAAAATATATGAATGTACAATTACACAATATGTATTGTACAACTAGTACAGGCCATCCTCACTATAAGTCCAAGATACGGTCCAAAAAATGTGGACTTATAGTGAAACTACTTAAAGCGGAGAATTTTTGTCCTGCAGCTGACTTCCATTAGTGTAAATTGGTTGTTATTTCTTGGTGTGACTTAAGATCAGGGAATGGGAAGACTTATACCTCAGTTCCTACGAATGTCAACAACTTTAGTGCAGAACCAATGTACCCGGGGCAACTTATAGAGAGGATGCCCTGCAGCCCAAAACTACATGCAGGGTTACACCCAGCAAGAGATAAACAAGGATGCATATCTACAGTAGAAACAGTCAGGCACACCTGACAGTAAGTCACAATAGCCTGTGGCAATTAGAACAGCAACGTGCACACTTCTGAACACCACACACCCAACCACAGCTGCAAGGAATCAAGGACAACACCGCTAGTCCTTCAATAGGGTAGCAAAAAGTAGGATCCCAGGTCAGATAGCTGGAAGTTCTTACAGAAACACAGTGGGATTTGGGCCTTTGAAAAGTTAGTCACACACCTGCCCACAACACACATGCCCACTTTTTCTTCCTCGGGGGAAAAAAAGGAGTTTCAAACTCCCCTTTGTGCAGGGATTAAAAAGTGAGTTTCAAGTCACCCTCAAATCCCAAGTTTGTCAGCCCATAAATCCACCACCTTAAAACAACTGTGTTAATTGGATGCCAACCTCAAGGGCGTGTTTTAATGTGGGCGAAATGTAAAAGCAATTCCTAAATCTTTGGAGCTAAATCAAAAGGGGAATATTATTTAGCTATTTTGAAAAGCCACACCTGGCGCACACCCCGGCTACTAGCCACACAAACCTTTTCCCTTCCTCTCATTGGATTCAGGACCAAGAAGGCCTTTTCTGCAGGAATCCATCACAACATAAACCTTTCACCCCATAGCTTCCTAATTATAATGCTACCCTTAGAGGTGATCTGCAAAAGTATAATCCAATGAGCTGGGGTCCGCACAAGGCAGGTCCCCTGGGCTCGCTTTTCGCTCTGTCACAGACCCTGGGCCCACTTCTGGCCAGCTCTGTGCCTTAGTTTCCCCTCCCATCTCTCATCAGCCTTGTCTGTAAGCGCTTTGGGGCAGGGACTGTCTCTCGCTGTGTCTGTGCCGCGCCCGCCCGGCATAAGGGGGCCCTGATCTTAGGGGCAAGCTTGTGCACTAATAAATACATCAGTAATAGTAATGTGTCATTTGTGCTTTGAATACCTGCAATGTTTCTAGACACCAATAAGGGTCCCTGCTGCTATTTTACATTTAACCAACCCGGTCTTGGCAGGTTGTTTTGTGTCCATGGCCTGCCTGGCTGTGTTTGCAGTCACCCTCCCCAGCAATCTAGCAGATTTTGGGGGATGCCAGTTTAATTGCTGCTCATTAATTAGCCCTCCCTCCTTCCTGGGCTGGACCTAAGGGGAGGGGCCGCCTGCAGGCCCCCAAGCAAGAGGAGGGGAAAAGGAATTGGCCTAGGTTTGAGTTGATACCTGGGTTCTGCCCATTTTTGGAGCCCTCTGGGAATTTCGCAACAGGAGCAGAACCTGAAAGAGCAACACCCTGGTTCTCAGCTCAGTGACACCAGATCAGAACGCAGCCTGGACTCGAATCCGGAGTGACTCCGGATTGACACCGGCATCACCGAGACCACACTCCAGCCCTGACTCTAGAGCTCTGGATCTTTACACCAGCATCACTGAGACCAGACTCCAGCCCGGACTCACACCGGGATCATGTCGATCGGAACCCAGCCCGGACTGCAGGGATCCCAGAGCACAGAATCCAGCCCAGACGCCAATGCAGCAGAGCCAATCCGGATTTACACCGGGATCCCAGAGCACAGAATGCAGCCTAGACGCCAATGCAGCGGAGCCAATCCGGATTTACACCAGGATCCCAGAGCACAGAATGCAGCCTAGACGCCAATGCAGCGGAGCCAATCCGGATTTACACCGGGATCCCAGAGCACAGAATGCAGCCTAGACGCCAATGCAGCGGAGCCAATCCGGATTTACACCGGG